TTAACAGTGTTATTTTACTTACCTCAAATACTTATTACTGTGTTTTTTCGTAGCTTCAACTTTGGACCGCTACCGAGCTGCCGATTGTGAAAGTGATAAAATCACGAAATGAAAGTTTTTCTCAGAACGATGCATGTCTGCGGTCGCGATTAAAACGAAAGCAAGTTGGGTGCATGAATAATAATAGTATTCCATTAAAACGGCGCGCAGAATAGGCGAACACAGCTTTTTTCTAGGTTTCCCTTGGCAATAAACGGAAATTTATCACAAATGATAAAAACTCAAAAGCGACATTTTTTGTGTAGAGACTTCTGTTCATCTACGCCTCCATTGACATCGCATTTACGCTGGAACTGGGGGAGAGGGAGGGGGGTGAACAGGGATATGCCTCGTGGACGCATGAACAGGCCATCGACAATGGACATACTTTAAAAAAGCTCGCTCACACCCAACCTCATTGAGTCTGACATAAGTCCTTTCCTAACCAATCGGAGGGTTTAGAGCAAAACACTGAAAAAAAAGTCCGACGTGATTGACACTTCCCACACAATGATTCAGTTTGATTGTTTGAAGTCGCTCGTGGACAGTCCCGGTATACAGTATTTATATGAAGTATTTCACTCGGCTACTTCTTAACGCAGGCTCGCAGTGGGAAGAACTTCAGCTTTGATTTCGGGTCTGACTACATCACGGGTGTTCTTTGAGAGCGCCCGCAGTAACTTCGTAACGCGGATATATTTGAATACCAGGGAGTACTTGATATAAAACAGTATTATGAACTAAGGGTTGATTAGCGTCATTTGGGTTACTTAAAGCTCTGAGGCCGGTTGTTCAAAAGCAGGTTAACACTAACCCAGGGTTAAATTTTAAAGCTCGGTTGATTTGCGTTGCACAAAGCCCGGTTATATAGCGTTAACCCTGGGTTAAAATTAATAAAAAAAATCAACCCTGCTAGCTAGGTGGGTTAACGTTTTAATCCAAGAGCAGAAACACGTAAACACGTATAATTCTTTGTGAATTAAACACTTTTGAAAGGTTTTACGAACAGTTTCGGACAGCAAAGAATTATTTAAGTTTGACTTCGTTCTGTTTCGGCTGATGTATTGATTTATTTATCTTCGATCGCTTCAATGCAGTACATGATAAATACATACAACCGTACAAATTGAAACATCGTAATCGAAATATTTGTTTCGGATGCCATTGTATCAGATATCTTAGCTGATCATTGTATTTCAAACTTCAACTGAATCTCGATTCTCTTGATTTGCAATGGTAATTGTTTCTGAATGTAATAATCAAACATTGCTTGAAATTCTAAAATCGATTCAGTTTAAATAATTTGCGGATTAGATTCCCAAATGAATTGTTCCTCAGTATGGTGCATGTATGCGCTGCGCATGCCACATACTATCGTTCCTAGTGAACGGCGGGCGCATGAGCTAGCAAGGACAGCGAACTAACTTCGCAATAAATAGAACTTTGCAAAATCGTAACTCTCTAATTGCTCATTGTTTCTTTTCATGTTCCCAATGCAGTGAGACTGACATCATTGCAAGTTTCTGAAGGATGCATGAGGATTTTTAACAATTAAGATATCAAATAAAAAAGGCTTTTACTTCACATGGATACATTTAATAAGATATAAGTTCTGACTAAGAAACTGCGAAGCCAAGAGGCTACGGCTTTGGTGCTGTATGTGCTGAAGATAGCTTAACTGGATGACAACATGCGTAAAATATTATCTCAAAAAGAAGTGCAACAGCATATAAACAACCAATTGCTATGAACCATGCTAGAAATTCCTCTTTCCGGCCGTCATTCTTGCAAACATATATTCCATAACCATCGAATGCCACGAATAGAAGTGGCAAAAGTGTCGCGGCCCAACATTCCACGTTCAAAACTATGTCTTCCTTACCTGGCAGAAGCTTCTTGAAACAAGCAACAGTGGAGTGTGAAACGTGAAACAGCAGAGGGTAGATGACAAACAGTGTCCAATAGGCTATTATCTGACCTCTTACAAGACAGAAACCAAGATCCGATCGGCTTACTGTAAACGCCAAACCAAGCACCAGAATTGTCCAGTATGCACCAGCAACAATACCAAAAGCGCCGTCAAGCACCAAAATGTTGATGATAATTGATAGGAGTCGACCAAGAAGAAGGAATGTTTGCCAAAGTAGAAACACAACCGCGGAACGTTTTGGAAAGCTCGCTGGCCTGATGTGGTTTTGCTTGCTTTCGATAATTCTCAGCATCCAGTAATTCTTTTCCAAGGTGTAGATGCTGACGATTGGAGATATGAATGAAATTGTGATTGACACAATAGCATACCACGGATACGATTTTCGGTGAACCATGATGCCAACTTGGAGTAACCACTGTGGCACCGATTCAGCAAAGGTTTCCATCGAACGAACGTGGGACATTTTTAAAGATGCTTTAACACTTTTCCACATTCGTTCATCGCAGCCACTGCACCCACACTCCGAGAAGTGCTTTTCGCTGTTGCAGGGGTATGCCTTATCGCCACTATTTTCCTTCCTTAAGCGGTGGATTTCTTGAATAAACAAACAGATCATGGAAAAAAAAGTGAGAAACGCCAACGTTTTCAGATACCATGGTGCCTTCATCGCCCACGTTGCAAAGATATTGCAAATAACCAGAGAAACAAGGATGAAACTAAACGTCATCACAAAATATTCATTATCATCATTCATGTAGTGCTGAATCCCAACGTATGCATCCGTTCCCATGTCCACAAAATACAGGATGAAGCTGGCAATCAAACTAAAGAGTTTAAGTTTTCCTCCCATCTTATTTATTTGCCGCTGTGCGATGAGGTTCTTTCACACTGTGCTACCTATTTATGTGAAAATAATGATAATTCATTTATTGAAACGAATATTTTCCTCTCAATCTTTAACTACGAACGTAGCCAGATCTACCCCTGGCTTTAAACATGATTTTTGTAGTGTTACAACGCACTTTCATGCCCGAGTTCATAATGTTACATTATGCAACTCTCCTTGCAACTTGCAATGCAATTCTACTCCTGAGGCATCTAAAGTTGTCAAATACGAACATTTCTTACGATCTGCTAACGTTTTCTTAGCATTTCGAACACTCTTTACAGATTAACATCTCTCAAAATTATAATTGCATTGCATATCACTTAGTGATATTTAGACAACGTTTAAGTTGAATAAGGATTTTTTAGCATAAATCTCACGTTGATCAAGGAAGATTACTATACGGATAATAATGCTGGCGATAAGACCTTTTTTACCATTTCTATTATTTATTGTTAGAAGATACTATGCCGCGGTAGTAAACAATTTTTTAGTCATTACTGTTGGAGTTGTTTCCGCTGATTGATTATAAGTTAGGTCAAATATATAGCTAAGGATGAAATATATAATTATACCATGGACCAATCAGAATTTGAGTTAGTACGCGGTTTCCTAACGAATTTATAGCTATACGACAAAGCACCCAGTAAACAGCTACAATAAAAGCATGCAAAAACAGTGTTTAAAGGCTCGATTTTTGCTGCGATTTCATGTGTAATTTTCTTCTTTTGATAGATGTGAACGAGTAATTAGTTACGATGCTCTGACGTGTAAGAGCTCTTATTTGAACATCAGTAACTAATTCACTTGTTTACATCCATCAAAAGAAGAAAATCGCACATAAAATATAATTTGCATTGCATGAAAGATTTGCGGTTATTGCTATGAATATTAAACTCATGGATAAACTCTCAAGGCTATTCATTTGAAACGAACAAAATTAAAGAGTGAGATGATTTTGAGGTATTGAAAAGTGTTTTTATGGCACTAAACAAGCCGATGCTGTTGTTGTGATGACTACATCACTGCAAGGGTCATGTTATATACTCATTTCAATACCTCAAAGTCGGTTTACGCTTCTTTTATTAATCTCAGCGAAGCGGGATCATGTAACATTCCCTAATAACTTTTTCGAGTCAATGCAACATTCACGGTGCCTAATGCCAAACTAAAGTAAATATATTCCATTCAAGGCATGCTGATCGATAGCTGCTCTAGCTGATGTCCAGCGAAACACATCGTGAGAATTTCAGCTCCAGCAATTCAGCATATCCTCTCTTGAATATGTATGAAACCGCCCCATAATCTTCAAATCAAAGTCTGAGCTAGCAGTTTTGGAATTTGACGTACAGGAAAATCTGCCTTGTGATCACCCTGTACAGCTTCATCCAATATAGAGGAATATAGCGTTGTTAATGTTAACAGTGCTTTTTACTTACCTCAAGTATTACTTTCGTTGCTTCAACTTTGGACCGCTACGGAGCTGCCGATTGTGAAAGTGATAAAATCACAAAATGAAAGTTTTTCTCAGAACGATGCATGTTTGCGGTCGTGATTAAAGCGAAAGCAGGTTGGGTGCATGAATAATAGTATTCCCATAAAACAGCGCGCAGAATAAGCGAACACAGCCGTATTCTAGGTTCCCCTTGGCAATAAACAGAAATTTATCAAAATTAATAAAAACTCAAAAGCGACATTTTTTGTGTGGAGACTTTCTGCTTTTTATAGCCGTTCGTCTTCGCCTCTATTGACATCGCATTTACGCTGGAACTGGGGAAGAGGGGGGGGGAGGGATATGCCTCGTGGACATACACAGGAGCATGCCGCATGGACAATGGACAGAGGACAATGGACATACTTTGGAAAAGCTCGCTCAAACTCAACCTCATTGAGTGTGGCATTTGAAAGTCCTTTTCTAACCAATTGGAGCGTTTAGAGCAAAACCCTGAAAATAAATTCCGACGTGATTGACACTTCCCACACAACGAGTGAGTTTGATTGTTGAAATCGCGTGTGGACAGTCCCGGTATACAATATTTATATGAAGTAATTCACTCGGCTACCTCTTAACGCAGGCTCGCAGTGGGAAGAATTTCAGCTTTGATTTCGGATTCGGAATTCAAATTCCAGAATTTTTAGAAATGTTGGGTCACTTGGGTGGTTGATGAGAATATTGCCTCTGACTTGACTTTCTGGATTGTCTGGAAGTTATAAACCATCAAATTAAATGTTGAATTGAAGAGATTTTAATGCAAATACGATGATGCATTCTCAAGATGACGGGGTGATAGCGACCAACGACGATGCATCGATTTGCAAAAGGTACAGTTGAAATATTGGAAATAATTTTAATAAACTTGTACACAAATCATTTATTAGCCCCGTTGTCTAAGATAATTGCCGTTCACAAGCTTATGTAGTTATGTTCAATGCAGTGCATTCTTGTATGTTTTTACAAAGGTAATAAACAACCATCTTTAGTTGCTATAACAGACTTGCATCAGTTGCATATGCCAAACTAAAATGCTGAGCCATTTTATGAAAGCTGTGTGGCTGGTGTATGCGTGTGTGTGTCATCAAATAGAGGTTTCTTAATAGTAATAATGGTACAATTATGGAATACCAGGCCAATAGTGCATTATGTTAAAAATCTGTTAGATGATCAATTTTAGTTTATAGTCATTATGGATCAAACTACCCTGCATAAAAATAGTGTTTAATCTTGTTCGGTGGAAGTCCACTTCATCAATTCATGCATTAAGTAACATAAAACAAGGTAGTTCTGTATGGCATTCACTGTTAAGAGTTTGGCTGGCCAGGTATTCTACATAGTTGCTCTGTAATAATTATGATTTCTTCCCAACTGATTTTTCTCATTTCAACTTTATATAAAGCAAATGCTTTTGCACATTCCATAAATATTCCGAGGCATAGAGTCCCGAGTGCATTCCTTATAGCCTATGCTATTGATCTTTGGTGTGGAGTTAGTCAAACATAATTGAAATGTATTTATACTAAAATTCAGGGTGTCTTTGGCATACAATGCACTATGACATGGAATAGACATCAATTAACATTATGACATCATTTTTCATTAGGCTAACAGTTGACTATCTACAGCAGGTTTTTGCCTGTAAATTCTTTGTGAAGTAATATTATAATGTATTATTATATATTATATCATATGGTACTGTTTTTTAAAGAAAATATGCTGATTTTCAGGTTTGCTGTTCAGCTGGGGTACTGGCAAGATAATTACATCCAGCATTTTGTGAAGAATGCCGAAAGAAAGGCTCCAGAAATAAACAGAGGTTAGTTTAATTAAACTGTTATATAATTAGCATGTTCATATGTAGCGTTGTGCAATTCAGTGGGGTTCAAGCATTGTCGACAAGCTCACAAATCAGCACTGCATGTACCCAGAGAAATGCAGTACTGCTCAACAGAAAATCAGGTTTACCTGGTGTATTTGAGATTTTCACATCTAATTAGGCAATTCCTTGTAAACTTTGTGTGTAGTCTTACCCCCCAAAACTAGAAGTATACCAGAAATATACAAGACAATTTGAAATAGACCTGTTATTACATTCACAATTTTTGGGTGTGAAAGTTGAGATGTTCATCTTGTTTCTTGAAGTGGTATACTGTATGTAAATTTTCCTAATAACTCGTCACAGAGACAAATTAAACTCTATTACATATTCCTCACATGTTAAGTATTGTGGCTGACAACAACAAATGGAAACTCTAGGGCTCGATCATTAACTGTTATTAACAAGTAGTTTGGATTAGACTGACCTGACAGTATAAATTGGTTTATTGTGTATGCAACAGACGGAACTAAGGGCCTGTTCACATGAGACAGGTCAGCCCAGTTTAGCCGGGCTAGCTTGGCAGTGCCAGAATCCCACTTCACATGTTATTTCAGTATATTTGTAAAATTGCATTCAATGGAACTAGGTTAAATGAGTTCTTGCCTTTAACCAGCTCATATGAAAACATATCAAGCAGGCCAGAAAAAGCGAGCTAGCCCTGGCCAGCTAAACCTGGCTGGCCCTTCTCATATGAAAAGGTCCTTAGGTATAAATTACTGACCAGGCATATTAATACTCAAATACATAGGTGAAGGGTGTGTTCACCACAGTTCGGACTAAATCATTTATAACATAAGGTGGTGAATATTTTGGCTTCTTTTTTCCATAGGTTATTATGCTCGGGTTAAAGGGATTGAGACAATTTTGTTGCAGTTTCTTGAACTGACGAAAAATGTGTGTCAAGTTATAAATCTTGGGTCTGGTTTCGATACTCGTTATTGGCAGTTAAAGGTAGTTAACAAGTTTAATGTTTAATATATGATACTACTGTCAGTGCTTGATTTACAGTAAGAAATTTGCTACTGTTATTGACAAATAACTTTTTCATGTTTTGAGGAAGCTTGCCGAAGTCCAAAGACGTTTTATGAAGTTGATTTTGGTGCAGTTACAAGCAGAAAATGTATGGCTATAAGGTATAATTGTTTTTTAATAGATATAATTTCAATACAGGGAGCCTTTCTCAGTCACAAAAAGCGACACCGACTGTCTTGATTTTTTCAAGATAAATTAATCGGAAATTGCTTAGTGCGCATTCCATTAAGCGGCCAAAATGGTCAGACCGGTCATATTTAAAATTGAAATAGAGTATTTCGTTGAGAATATAGCGATAAAACCATATTTCCCGTGCAAGGCAGATGTAAATAACCATATACTTGAATGCAGAGTTCTTGAAGCACTCTAAATACCAGTAATCTATCCGTACTGAAATACAACAGCGCCCTTAGTAGGGACCGCGCGCGTTCGGTGGCCTGTTATTGGAATTGGCTAATTTCGAACGGAAAATAGCCCATGTTTAACCCAAGATAACTTTATAACTAAAGGCTATTTTGATTTAATTTTTTCGTGTGTTTGTTAAAGAAGGATAGATCTAAAAAACAAGACAATTTTAAAAGTCCAACAAGCTCAAACAAGAATTTAATTTGCAATGGAATAAGTTGAATTTTGAGTATCGCGACGCCATCGAAATCATGCGGCACCGGCGTACGACGATGACATGTCGTGTTCAAACGTAAATCCGGAGTGATCTCTGGGGTCATATGGGACAATATTGGTATCAAAAGAAAGAGGAGAACCTCAGCTATCCACCAATGTCCTATTCTTTCGAGTTTTTGACTTGGAAAGATTATTTCAAGCGAAAAACAACGCTTTTTTGTGTTTTTAAACATTTTCTGGTGCGAAATGTCAGAAGAATCAGGTAAATTCGAAATATTTAGACTTTAAGCTTTCATTTGATGTGTATATTTTAGTATTAGAAAGCGGAGATCACTCCGGATTTAAATTGGAATTTTATAGAAATCCGAACAAATTTCGCCACCGCATTGAGCACTGTGAAAGAAGCATTATGCGAAAATTGTCGCAACTTTAACGAAGACGATTTGCGTTTGCTTATTGGGAAATGGGGCGAAGCCTGGCTGGAAAGGTGAGAATAAAATTTGTTTTAAATTGTTGTCAAAAATATTTGAAATCAGTAGTTGTATCGAGGGTAACCAAGGTGACATGGTTAAAAAAAGCCTTCTTATACTGGACAATGACATCATCCCACCTAAATATAAGCAACCTGAAGCGAAAAGTTATCAGAGTAATTGAGAAATGTCCACATGGTAGGTGCAGCATTGTTTCAGATATCTATCAAGTAAACAGTATTTCATTCGGCATTGGTGAAGAATGTGAAAAGTATGGTATAACTGCTGAAATGCTAATTAATTTGCTGGGAGGTGATGCAAACCAGACTAAGAATAGTTTAGATTCATCAGTCATGATAACTAATAAATTAGTTGTAGAGTTAAATGATTACAGGGAAAATTAAGATTAATTAACCTGGAGTACTCTGCTAACATGGTTGTTATGTATTAAAAAAGAGAATGAAGATGTTGACTAAAAAGTATTTCATTCTGCTGTTGATCATGTTAATGAGCAGAAGCATAACCTAATGAGAAATACAGGTGAAAATGCATGTGAAGAGTTTTTAACCCAAATATTTAAGTTCCCTAAGAAGGATAACTGGCACTGTAACACGAAATATGCCCAATTTTGCGTGGCATGAAAGGACATTACTCATTAGTAGACATTACTAGTTTCTTAAAAATTCACTTTTTAAATGGGCAGATTTTAGAATGTTTTAAAATAATTTTAATTAATTCATGTTTATTGTTCTATTCTTAGAATTCATCCCTATCATACTGTATAACATGGTCATGGATTGAAAGTGTTAATGGCTTCAATTTTATGGATCCTTAGGCTTAGCCTGAATCAGTAAATGAGTCACAAGAACAGTATGTAGGAAAATGTATCTGTTGATAAGCAGTCCAGTTTCATGTACATAGACATAGTCCAGCAGTTTTTATGTTTAAATCTTTGAAAGGTATTATTATTATTATTATTATTTGTAAAAATAATTATTTTCCTATGTGGAATGCCTAAAATAAATAAATTTACAATAATGTGACATCATCTGTGACGTCATGGATCCGTTGTGTTGTCATGGAAACAGGCATGTGGAGTTCATTCTGAATTTTTTAGTGCTTAAAGTAACAAAATTGTCGAAATATTTCATTATAATGCTCAGGATACGAATATAGTAATACAAGGTTACTATAAACTGTAAACTTACAATGACGTCGTTGTGACGTCATCAAGTTTTCATGGTAACACAATTTTGTAACATTGTTTGAACAATTATGACAAAATTGATGTATATATGTCATAGAGTACGTTACTATAAATTTTATAAGTCATAAATTATCTACTTGCACTTCTCGTAAGCTTTTTTGTCATTTAATGACGTCATAATCGTTGCCATGGCAACGATAAGTGTCCGATTGTTACATCGTAATGTGTCTTTACATACAACCAGTCGACTCTGAAAATTTCGTGGTGATTGGATGAAAATTCTAGAAGTTATACCCTTTTATGTTAAAAGAATAGTTTAAAAGTCGCGCATTTTGGTGCCATGTTAAACACCTAGTTGTAACACATTTACACCTACGCATCTTCCAAAATTTGGCCTAAAATTCCGACCTTTAAACTGTCATAACTTTTGATTGCCTTTACCGATTTTGATGAAACAAACACCAAAATGTTTCAAATGACGAGATGAATCAAACTAGCGTATTTGCGAAGCCCCCCTGTAAATTTAATTTTTTTACTGTTATCCCTACCCTTAGTTTATCCTGAAAATTTGCATTTTTCATTGTTGAGACAAAAAATCGGGAAATAGTGTTCACTGATTTTCCAATCCTGCAACGGTGATGCCTTACGATTAGAATTCATTTAATTCCCAAAGGTAGCATGATTTATGTTTTAAATTTATAGAATAATTGCTTAGCTTAGCCAACTCCTGTCAAATGACAGCTGCTATGCTATATTTTGCCGTTTGCCTTTCCGTTTTACGTTGTTGCTTTTGTTCTTTAGTACTTTACTTTATTAAATTACCCAGTGGTTTCCCTATTTTCTGAAGTAAATGATATTGTTCTTTGGAATTTTTTTAGAGCTAGACGGCTAGGCGCGTGTATTATGTTCGATTCAAAAACAAACCGGTTGACTAAAATATATTTAAAAAAAAACATCGAAAATCATTAAAAACAAACGCATGGCAAAAGTTTATTAATATAGCAATAGCTAGTGATAGATTTAAACAGTGGATTTTGTTTTTGCAGCATAATATTAGGACTAAATTATAAGAAACTGAAGCCTGCCACGTTTTGATACATTTCTTGGAAGCCGTTGCAGTTGGCGCCAGTTAGTCTAGCCATCATAACTTTTGTTCGGATTTTAGAACCATTGTTAATTAAGCACGCGTGTTTAGATAAAATCTTCTAGGGCTATATCTTTAAGACCGACTTTTTTGACTGACTTGTTTATGCCTTTAAGCCTCGTCTCAGCGCCGGTAATCTAGATAAATATGGCTTATAAATATTACAGTAACGAGATTTGAACGCCTCGTTAAATAATTACATTTTCACATCCCTTAACAGGCGAAGGAAGCCTTTGCAAGCATATTTTAACGAGCAAGATTTACAATATGGTATGGTCGGTCTTTCTTATCTAATCTAAAATATGTTAAGGCCCGTTTAGGGCCCGTTTGCACGATTTTGCGATTTTTGGTGCGATTTTCTTCTTTTGGTAGATGTGAACGAGTAGTTAGTTACGAATGCTCTAATGCAGGGAGCTCTTCTTTGAACATCAGTAACTAATTCACTCGTTCACATCTATCAAAAGACGAATATCGCACAATCGTAGCAAAAATCGCAAGTGTGAACGGGCCTTTATGAAAAAACGCTGAAAATTTGAGATTGCGGTGTATGAGAAAAAGCAAGACAAAGTTTGAAACTGTACGTTTCGGAATTGATCGCAAGTACCAAAGTTGAAATTAGACAGAATAAAATCTTTCATTCACTAAAATTACTAAAACGGCAAAATTCTGTTGCAAAATGATGTAAAATGTAAGTTTGCATGTTTGTATAACGCACAAAAATTGTTAGGTACCACATTTGAGCCGATAATGGTAACATTTCCGTGCGTAATAGAAAGTATACAGAAATTTGCAAACTTTGCAAGACTTTGGGTGCTTTCCTTTATAAGGTAAAAACGGCCAGACCGGTAAAAAGGTAGATTATTTAGGTACTTACTTGAAGTATTAGAATGTTGGACATTCTGTCTGGCTTATTCTGAAAAGGGCAAACAAATTTGCGGATTTTTTGAACCGGCATTTCCTCCGCGTTAAGGCAGAATACGTCCCTTACAATGTCCAAAATGTATTGTTGTAGGTACTGATGGGATCAGTGCAAGTGATTATCATTTGATTGCCAGTGACCTTAGGAATGTCGGTGAACTGGACCAGAAACTCACAGCACGAGGACTGGAAAAAAGGTACCTGAAATTATATTTGCGTTTTCTATAGAAGATTAATGGTTTGATCAATGCGGTGCCCGTTATTATTCCGGAAAACCAACATCACAAGTTTTTGAGACTGCCGAAATGCTTATGTAATACATCATACGATCGTCTTTTTCCCATTGAAATGTCAACTTTCTGGTCTCCGGGCCTGGGCTAATGTATCTTCAAGGCCTATTTAGACTGCACGATAAGTTGTGTGCAATTATCATTCTGACGGATGCAAAAAGAGGCCTATGCCACAATCTTCATTCATATTGTTCATGGTGAAATTTAAAGTGTCTTGATTGTATACGTGTTCACACGTTCACATACGCCAGGGTACGAATCGTATACGACAAATCGCATAGTATAAATGGACCTTTAATATATAAACGCTTTTTTTATGTACAAAACACTTTCCAAGGACTGCTATTACAGTATATTGAAGTAATTGAACTAATATACACCTCATTTATTTTGCTCCCCAGTCTTCCCACGATCTTCATCATGGAGTGTGTCATGGTGTACCTGCATCCCCAAGAGGCCGAGTGCGTCATAAAATGGGCTGGGGAGAGCTTCAAAAATGCCGTGTTTTTGAACTACGAGCAAGTTAACATGGATGATACATTTGGAAAAGTGATGATAAACAATCTCAAGGTGGGAAACTTGGGAATAACCACTCTTTTGTCGTAGTCATACTGGTAGTGTGCGACAAGGTTACTCTCAATGTGTTTAATGTATCTTTAATTTGAGACACCAATTATACAATTCATTCATTTTGAAATCGTTTCCCAAAATATCTAAAGAACTCCTTCAATACACGAATGTATGCAAATGAATTGCCCAATTCTATTGCCGTGAATGTAATGCTTATTTTATTTTTGGAAGTGTCAAATATTCGCATGGTATGGAACTTGTAAATAACATAGTTTATGTTCTTCAACTCATTTTGTTTTTCAGAGAAGACAATGTGATCTTCAAGGAGCACTTGCGTGTCCAACTGTAGATTCTCAGGTGTGTATAATTGTTCTTTTTCTTCGTTTCATTTTTGAACAGATCAACTTCCACAAGAATGATTGCAAACGGATAGAAAGTAACTTAAATATATTGCCCGTATAGAAAAAATCCATATTCTTTAAAGTCATCCATATTCTGATATTCTTAGAAGACAATGTCAGATGACGTTTTCCATGTTATTACTCATATCTTCAATTTCTTCTGGCCCTCTAGTCTAATAAATCGAGCTTTAAAACGAAAATCTCTCAACCGTTATTTTGAGTTCTGGTATGAACCTCCATCATGTCCACTTCAGAATTATTCGTCTTTTTATTAAAGGTTGAAAGGTTTAAGAGGTTATCGTGGAGCGATGCAAACGCTTTAGACATGTCGACAGTATATCAAAGATTGCCATACGAAGACAGACAAAGGTTTGAACATTGTTTTTTCTTGCGAAAGACAATAGCATAATGCGTGTGTCTGCATAGGCGAAAGATATAGTGTAATATTTAATGATAATTTTTTCGGCAATAATTTTCTTAACTAAAACATTTTCAGGATTGAGAGATTGGAAATGCTGGACGAGGTCGACTTGTTTTATCAATTGCTCAACCATTACTGTATTTCATGGGCATTTAATGACGAGGGTCAGACAGGTGAGGTGTATTACGTAAATTGTTGATACAATTGCATAACTTAAAGCAGACAGCTTGTAAGGGGAAGGCATGCTGAAATTTTGCGCAGAAATTGTTGCAATTCTTGGTCCGAAAATAGCAATTTCCGCAAGAAATATATGCAGAAAGAATAATAGGCTTGTGGTTCATGACTTACCAGGCTAACTTCCGTCTTTAAACACATCTATTGGCGATAATTGTATTGAGAGAAATGTTTGAAAACGACTTCTGAAACGAGCTTCCAAAAAAAGCGGATTTAATACTGTTATTCCGTATTTTCCTTTGTGAAGGTTTCAAAAATCTTGGCTTCCATTGATGCTTTCTTGGGCCAAACAGGTAATATTGGCGGCATTGCTACACAAATTTATGAAAGTTAAATACACAAATTTATGAAAGTTGTTCCATGGGTGTGGATATAGCTGCTACATACGATGTTATCCGATCGAGATTTCCTTGTGTCAGTTTATGCGTGACCGTTCCTTGTTTTTATGAATCATCGAAGTTCACGGAGACATAGAAACACATTTATAGAGATTGGCAAGAAAATACTGGGGAATGCGACCGAGTTTGCTGAAACACGCTGGTCAAAATCGTCAAATTAAACCTAGTAAGCAAGTTTGCCGATGACAATTTGCAGCAAGTTTGCCGATGACAACTTGCAGCAAGTCCGTTGACACCTTGCATCAGACTTGATTTTATCAAGCCGGAGCAAGCGACGCGAACGCATCCTGATATCGGCTTGATGATCGCAAGTTGGAGCAAGCCTGCAACAGACTTGCTCCTACTTGCGCGTTTCTGCTATGTAGAGCAAGCTCAGAAGAACCTGAAGCTTTGCGTTTCGCTAATGATCATAATTTTTAAAAAAGGCGCTGACATTATGAGCTTGCACGAGTGGACCAACGTGAAAGGCTAACGAGAATGTGAAAGTTAACATCGAAATATTTTTTCATTAAGGCCAGTTCATTTGGCGTATCAATGGAATTTAACAATTGCCACAAATATATATACGAACTAATGACTTTAAAACAATGAGATACGGCCTTAAATTCATTCTTTTTTCGGGGAACCTCATTCAAACACAACAAACTCTTGTAAGGTAGTGCAATATTTAATACAGCACAGTTACAAATAGTTATGATTTTTACGATTAATATAAATCGATAAATTTTACGATTAATTCCAGGAATTATTTGTATGAATTGTAATGAATTGTATTCACCACAAATAACTTTTTGTCGTTTTCTTCCCTGTTTCTAAAGCATGAAATAAAAAAAAGATCTCTATTAGACTCTTAATTAACAAAAAACCCGCTTTAATACTTAGAAGATTTGAGGCTTGCACAGAAGATTTGAAGCTTGTACATGATTAAAACGTAACAAAATTTTGTTGTGCGAAAGGTATTTTTAAACTTCGGTATTTCAAGCACAAGGAAACAAAAGGCATTTTACGAAGTTACATGGCAAGGTTTCACTGCTGCTCGGTAATAAAACTGAAGAAAACTGTTTTGGGTGAACATAATAAAAAATATTTTTGTTTCCAGGCCACATAAAAGTGCCGACGGGGGTTACCGTAATAAGTCAGAAAGCGTTTTTTGCATGCAACTTGTTAAATTTTTTATACAACACTGGAAAAATAAAAAAACAAAACAAAAAACAAAACAAAAATGTAAGTTAAGTGGCAAATGTTGAAACATTCTAATGAATCTGCATTACCATTTTCTTCAAATTTTAATTTATGACCTGTGAAATCAGACTTGACTTCAAATCGTACAGCGTAACCATTAGCTTCACCTGGGTCGCATATAACTAGCTTATGGCGAAGTAATGCTCCTCCCTCGAAAAAATATTGATATTATTAGGTTAAGGCTACGAGTAAGATTCAATTTTGTGCGTTTTAAACAAGAAAGCATAACAGTTTGACAGAAGTTCCGCTTTTCTAGCGGTGGAAAATCGATGGTTCGAATCCCACCACAACCGTTTTTCATTATGACATTCGTAAAAAGGATAAACTAAATTAAAAAAACCATGGTTGTTTAGCACTTTATTTCGTGGTCTGGTGGTAAAGACAACGGTCTTCAAAGTGGAATTGAGTGGTTCGAAACCGAACTGAAATATTTTTCATCATGACCTTTAAAATAAGGCTAAAGAAAATTAAAAACCATAGTGCTTCAGTACAAGATCTCGTGGTGTAGTGGTGAAGACAATGTTCTCCAAAGGGGGAAGTCGATGGTTCGAATCCCACCACAACTGTTTTTCATTATGATTTGCGTGAAAAGGATAAAGTAAATTAAATAATCATAGCTGTTTCGCACTTCATTTCGTGGTCTCGTGGTGAAGACAATGGTCTCCAAAGTGGTATTGGGTGGTTCGAATCCGGACTAAAATATTTTTAATCCTGACCTTTAAAATAAGGATAAAGAAATTAAAAACCATGGAACTTCAGTACAAGATCTCGTGGTGTAGTGGTGAAGACAATGGTCTCCAAAGTGGGAAGTCGATGGTTCGAATCCCACCACAACCGTTTTTCATTATGACCTTCGTGAAAAGGATAAAGTAAATTAAATAATCATAACCGTTCAGCACAAGATCTTGTAGTCTAATGGACAAGATGTTGGTTCCATGTGTCGACAGTCTGAGGTTCGAATCTCGTTTTAGATAAAAATTTTCGTTATTAACATTACATGGTAAGGCTATGGCGAATAAGTTGGTGTAGGCTTCCAACAATCACCAGTTAGCCTTGTGGTAAAGTCGTGGACTACCAAGTACAAGATCGATGTATCAAGAACAGGATGGTACGTTTCCCATGGCGGTAAAAGAAAAAGAAATGGTTGTGTTCGTGACAGGTTTATACTCGGTTAATCTTTGGAAATTAAAATTAATGTTTAGGGAAATCAGGGGGTAGATAGGGTGAATGAGGGGTATATGAGTACAAAAAGACTTAGTAATTGGGCGGGCGGGCGGCCTCGGCTCCCCGGGGCAAGGGGAAAGGTATAGGCGAGAAAACAGTATATAAAATGTTTAAGTCTTTTTGTACTCATTTAAACCTCTTTACCCCTATTTATCCCCCTATTTACTCCTATTTATCCCTACTTTTTCCTATCCCTAACTATCCCCTAACACAATTAAATGTTTGAAGAAAGCATGCTTTGAAAGTCAGAATAGGCGGGGGAAAGAGAACCCCCCTCAGTCTACTCCTCGCCCAAGGCGAGGGCATATTCGCCCTCTCGCTCTACTCCTCTCACACTCACAAATTCTCACTTTATTACCTTGTTGTTCTTTTTCGGTTTGTCCCGGGCTTGAACCATCGACTGTGTACTTGACAGGTCACCGTCTTCACCACTACACCACCAGTTCTTGTGGTGAAAGCCTGCAGTTTTTTATTTTACTTAACATTTTTTGGAAGAATCCTTGCCGAAACTTAATACCTTTTGGTAGGATCTCAAATAAAATAACAATTTAAACAGATGAGTTCACTGTAATGTTCTTGATTTATTTTCTCAAATCTCACACACTGTGTCTTTACAGACTTTACTATCTTATTCGTAGCTTGTAACATATCACATACAGATATGTAGTGCTTTAATATAAAACACCGTCTTTCCATAAGTTGGTTATATGCGGCCCAAATGAAGTTAATGGTTACGGTGCGATTGTTTTGTATTTTTAATGAAGTGAAGTTAAAGTAAAGTACAAGGATTAAGAACAGCCGAATACTCATCTTACTGAGACTGGAATGTTGATAGCCGTAAAAACCCGTCTGAATGTGAATTGGGATGTGGAATATGTATACGTGTGATGCATGGTTCGGGTAATGCGTAATCATTACGATAATAACTGTGTTTGTTTTCTGTTGCCCTTGTTCCGTCCTTGACCGTGCTGATACATCTGAAACTCGTCTGATTTACTGATCCGTCTAAATGCGAATTTAAGACGAGTTTCTCTTCCAAACGGGATTCCCGTCTAACTTACGCGTCTCTTAAATTAGACGGGAAAGTTGGACAGGAAAATTCGGACGAGAAACCCGTCTGTGGGCTTCACATCAGACGAGTGTCCCGTCTTTGATGAGTTTCCCGTGTATATGAATTCGGCTAAATTCATATAACTCAGATAGTCATGAGGCAACAAGCATTACATCTGAAATTGCAAATAAGCAAATATCCAGTTAAACAGACATTGAATATTTATTTCAAGATTGTTCCTCGCGGGTTCATCTATAGCGCTAGCCGGTTCGTCGAAAATAAAATACGCTAATCTAATATTTGAACGTTGTACTAAAGAGACCAACGTCTTAACAACTGTTTGACGACAACATCGTTTCTCGATAAGCTATTGTTCTCGATTTGACTTACTCGTTTCTTCGAAGAACTTTTAAATGAATAATTATAAATCGTTGCCGTAATATTGTAGAGCTGCTGTTTGTTTTTTTGTTACCGCGATTAACTGCGGAAATTGCGCTTTTAAACAGAACTTCTTTTTTCTTAGCGTATTTTTACTATTTTATATTCGACGAACAGGCTAAACAAGCCATGGCCAGAAAATTCGGACATAATTAACATTCTACTTCCGCCTAAATTTGCATATGGTGTCAAAATAAAGCTTCGTGAGTTTATAGTAAACTGTAATGTGCACAGTACTAAACGCTAAAAATACACCTTTAGGTAGGTCGATTATAATTTGCCTTAATTGCTCGTTGCAGAGCAAGTTAATCTTAATATTTTTATACAGTATTTCAAAATGTTTTATCAGTATTCGTCCTGCATTTTCAAAACAAAGTTTTGGTCATTTATCACGTTGAATACCATATAAAACGAAAACCGTAATAGCGTAGAAATAAAATAAAAATGCAGAGCCGACATAAACCTTTACCAGCAAAATATTACCTCAGGATCTTTAATATGACACGAATTACAAGAAACAACCAGGGCAAATTTCAAAGATGCAATGATTTTCTTAAATTTTTCTTAAATTTAAGAATGCGCAATATAATTTATAGTTCTGCAAATGAATAATATTTGAACAGATATGCAAATTTGCTACGGCAATCTGCATATTCCATGTCCGCAATTTCTGGCCATGTAATATTTCGACTCTTTATGGAACAAAATCTTGACATAAATAGTTCATATCTGTTTAACTGGATATTTGCTTCAATGGCGATTTTAGATGTAATCTACGAGAGTACGAGGTGCATGCTTGTTGCCTCATGATTATACGTGTTATACACATTGAAATACATTCTTATTTCTTGTACTTTTTTCGTTTAAACCTATTTTGAAAATTGAAATGCATTGTTAATTCTTGTGCAGTTACTTTGACTTCCCTTCATTAAAAATACAAAACAATCGCACCGTAACCATTAGCTTCACTTGGGCTTCATATAACAAACTTATTGAGAGATAGTTCTTTAAGGCTCTGCACTACCTGTATGTAATATTAATTTTTAGCGAGAACACAAATTGCTAATATTACGTTACAGGCTACGAATAAGATACAGTGTGTGAGATTTCAGAAAATTAATAACTCATGAGGATTAAAGTGAACTCATCAGTTTAAGTACTTATTCATTTGAGATTCTACCAAAAGGTAGCATGTTTCGTCAAAGATCCTTCCATAAAAGGATAAATAAAATAAAAAACTGCAGGCTTTCACCACAAGAACTGGTGGTGTAGTGGTGAAGACGGTGATGTGTCAAGTATACAGTCGATGGTTCAAGCCCTGGACAAACCAAAAGAGAACAACAAGGTAATAAAGTGAGAATTCGTGAGTGTGAGAGGAGTAGAGCGAGAGGGCGAATATGCCCTCGCCTTGGGCGAGGAGTAGACTGAGGGGGGTTCTCTTTCCCCCGCCTTTCCTGACTTTCAAAGCATGCTTTCTTCAAACATTTAATTGTGTTAGGGGATAGTTAGGGATAAGAAAAAGTAGGGATAAGTAGGAGTAAATAAGGGGATAAATAGGGGTAAAGAGGTTTAAATGAGTACAAAAAGACTTAAACATTTTATATAGTGTTTTCTCACCTATACCTCCCCCCTTGCCCCGGGGAGCCGAGGCCGCCCAATTACTAAGTCTTTTTGTACTCATATACTCCTCATTCACCCTATCTACCCCCTGATTTCCCTAAACATTTATTTTAATTTCCAAAGATTAACCGAGTATAAACCTGTCACGAACAACATACCAACCATTTCTTTTTCTTTTACCGCAATGAGTAACGTACCATCCTGTTCCTGATACCTCGATCTTGTACTTGGTAGTCCACGACTTTACCACAAGGCTAACTGGTGATTGTTGGAAGCCTACACCAACTTATTCGCCATACCCTTACCATGTAGTGTTTATAACGAAAATTTTTACCTAAAACGAGATTCGAACCTCCGACTGTCGACACATGGGACCAACATCTTGTCCATTAGACTACAAGATCTTGTGCTGAACGGTTATGGCTATTTAATTTACTGTGTCCTTTTCACGAAGGGAATAATGAAAAACAGTCATAGTAAGATTCGAACCATCGATTTACCACATTGGAGACCATAGATTTCGCCACTAGACTACGAGATCTTGAGCTGAACGATTATTTAATTTGCTTCATCCTTTTCACGAAGTTCGTAATGAAAAACGATTATGGAAGGATTCGAACCATCGATTTAGCACTTGGGAGACCAGTGTCTTCGCCATTGGGCTACAAGATCTTGTGCTGAGGGGCACTGGTTATTTAATTTACTTTATCCTTTTCACGAAGTTCATAATGAAAAACGGTTATGGTAGAATTCGAATCATTGATTTACCACTTGAGAGACCATTGTCTGCGCCATAAGACTACAAGATATTGTACTGAACGGCTATGGTGATTTAATTTACTTTATCCTATTCACGAAGTTCATGAAGAAAAACGGACATGCTTGGACTCGAACCCTCTGTATGGAGCATGGGAGAGCATTGCCTTCACCGCTAGAGCAGCAGAACTTCTGTCGAACTGTTATACTATTTTATTTTACTCACCCTTTTTTCGAATTTACTAATTTACTTTACCCTTTTCACGATGGTCATAATGATCGAAAAACGGAAAAGATGGGATTCGAACCATCAACTACCCACTTGAGAAACCATTGCCTTCACCACCAGACTACGAGACCATGTGCTGAACAGCAATGAGTTTTTAATTTGCTTTATCCTTTTCTTAAAGGATCTTAACGAAAAAGATTTCAGCAGGGATTTGAGCTATCTGCTTCCCACTTGGGAAACCATTGTCTTCACCACTAGACCACGAGATCATGTTCGGTGCGGCTATAGTTTTAAATTTACTTTGTCCACTTCGTAATGATCATTATGAAAAAGATTCTGACTTGGATTCGAACCATCGACTTCCCACTTAGAAGACCATGGTCTACACCACCAGACAACGAGATTTTGTGCTGAACGGCTGTTATAATTTAATTTACTTTATCCTTTTCTTAAAGGTCATGAAAGGAACCATCGACTTCCCACTTAGAAAACTATTGTCTTTACGCCGTCAAAAACAATAAAAAGGGACGTAATATATCGTCCAAGTCTTCAAATTATTGCTACAAGTTGGCATGCATGTAATTGAATCATTCATTATAGTAGAAACAGCATGCAGCCATTTCCCTCGGTTTTAATACACCCCAACCCTGCCTCGACAATCATTCTTTGGATCCTCGATTAACAGAGTCTACTGATTAAGAGATATGAAAAATTAAGACACATCAAAGTCACGTAGTATAAGTTTAATATTTTAATATTCTCTAGAACGAAATCTGAATCACTACAATCAAGCATTAATAATTTTGATATTCCAGCATTTCTTCACTTTTCTAAACCTAAAAAACAAGAAAATTGGATGTGAAACCTAACAGCATTAGTTTCGTATCATTAGCATCGTTTAGGAACGATAGTACTCTGTAAAAACATATTGTTAAAACAACTAATTTGATTTACAACTATAACGCACAAATTCATTTCTTATCAATTTTATTTTACTAGTAAAAAGAACAAAAAAAATGTTGTTTTAACCAAGTTTTTTGTTAAATATTTTAACCGTTGGTCCAAATAAATAAATCTTGGGTGACCAATTTTAAATTAGTACTGCTTTTAGAGTGTAGTTAACCTGTCGTTAATATTTGTTTTAATTAGTTCATTAGCTGTTTTACTTGATGTGGTTTTGAATGCTTGTAAAATTTGATTTGAGGCAAGTAACCTTTACCTTGCTGATCAAAGATGCATGTCATCATGAGGGAGCCTCATGTCATACCCCAGAAAAGGAGACAAATACCCCGAAGAGGATTAATATCCCGGAGAAAGTTAATACCCCGGAGGTAAATACCCCGGATTGCGCGGTAATAGAACTCTTAAGCTTCTTCGTTTGGCTCGATAAATTACTCACCTTTTGGCTTTTGCTATCAAGCTAGATTGGTAAAAGGCACAACCTTTGCAATAATACTTGGCCCCTCACCACCACGGCGTCGCACCTACGCAATGAATGAACAAGGAATAAATCAGATGTTGTTAGAACCGACAGAAATCAACATGACGGTTACAGAATGAAGTGCTACCCCAGGAGAGATACTTCCCGAGGGAGCAATGTTTCATCGAATTGCCCAATCGGAAGTCTTTGACTTATGTACACAGGGTCAACATTAGAATTTTTTTCTGCTTTATATTGTGAATGTTTCAGCACTGAAAAACCCAAATGTGTTTAATTGTTACCTGAGCCACAGCCTCGTGAGTTCCGTGTCCAGACCAGCCGAGAAGTGCAAATGAGTGATGAAGGAGGCTGGTGAATGGTATTCTCGCCCCAATCCTCTCCAAAGCACGGTAAGCCTTGCACGTCATTCGCCTTGACCCTTCGCTTTGAATTGCAACAAAAACGAACTTCCTAAATAAATTGAAGTAAGGATACTTTAAATATCGAGCCACATCAATCGAACATTCATCTCAATGCAATCGACCTTTTCACTTAAATAAGAGCTGATTTATACAGCGAGCTTTAAGGCTCCACTTAGTGGGACAAGAATATCTTGCATTTCTTACTCTGACTGTATCTTGCTAAGGAAGTGAACCATGCGACGACACTCCGCCTGGGAAGCAAAGGTATCAAACGCCACGGACGATTCAACCGTTCCTATGTAAAGAAAACATACATTCTGCACATTTCACTTGGAAATACATGGAAAACTGTCATAGTTCCATAAAAATATGTTATATTTAATACTTCGGGGGCCAGTTATGTAATAAGGCAGAGGAATTGGCCAATTTGAATTGTGTATTTTGGGATTAACTAGGATCTAACCGCTCAAAATGTAGTTAAGCATTCAAAATTAACGCGGAGTTTTTTTATACAATGAATTTGAAACGCTGTCGCGTTGATATTAATAAATTTGGATAGTGTACTTAGATGTATACAGATGAGTTTGACAAGTAGCCAATCAAAACACAATATCTAGAGTGCTAACTTAGACGGCAAGCGAGTGTCTTTGCAATCCGGGAGTACTAGTATATCGATAGTGATGTTACCATGGTTCCATGGTTCAACGACAGCAACAAAAACGATAGCAATAACAATAATAATGATAATGAATATACCTTTTCTTCCGTCAACAACAACAATGTTATAACCACGTTTGTGTTTTGAATGATCTTTGTTGTTGACAGATATAATTGCACGACCATTGCCATGTCTTCCTGGATCTTTGGCACTTTCACTTCTGATGTAAATGCTCAGACGATTGCCGCCGCCAGGTGGGGGTTTAGGAGTGGTTTTTACTGCAATAACGCCACATATTAAGAATGTGGATAACTAAAATGATCTATTTCTAAACAAGGTTTTGTACATTTTAGCTGAAACTTCACCACTTTCAAAATTGCTGCACAGACCAGCGTAAGGCCTAGCCTGTCTACATGGACAATTATGTTCTCATTTTGGATAATTTCCCCCCAATTTCTCTCAATCTTTCAACAAACTGACTTTTGCCGGAAAAAACGCATCTGAAGGGAAACTATTTAAATCAGATTTTCTTACATTGCTGACAATCATACCTTTCCAAACGTTGAAATTAATTCCGGGAATGTTGCTACATTCAACACGACGAACGTCTCCTCCACCAGCTAAGAATGCATTTCTTTGAATAGAAACGATTTTTTTCAAATTATCGCATAAGATTCTCGACATCGTTACTTTTTCAATCTCGATCAACTGCTCGGCTGTGAACACACCGGGTCTTCTGTAGAAGAAACTGTCTCCGTCTCTTAATCGTCTGAACTGCTCTCGGATGATACAGCCAAAGGTCGCTCCAACGATTCCACCGTTAGCCGGGGCTTCCGCTAATCCAGCAATCCACAAATCTGCGATTGAAGGCTTTTTGTAAAGCCTTCGCAAGAGAATTCTGTTCCATCCATTTCTGATTTCTCTTCTTGTAGCCTGGAAGTTTCTTGCATTTCGCAATCCGCAGAAACGTCGATATGCGTTGTACCCAGGTAAGCCATGCTCTCTACCGCGTTGAACGTTCAATGCAGCAAGATTTAGACCGCCTTCAGAGCTACCTGGCTCTTGGAACAGGTGTTGCAGGAGATCATTAGCGAGTTTTCGATCAAATCTTTCCGATGAGTTACCCAGTAAACCAAGAAGTATTGGATCTATACCTCGTTTTATTATGAAACTTGTGTTGAAGAACATTTCACGTAATGGCAAAGGGTTCATTATGGGATTGAAATTTGCATCGAGGACATCAAATGCTGGCCTGATTAAAGTGTGTCCGAATCTAAATGCTGCTGTGGAGAATCCGTTTGTAAGGTCAGCATTGACGTTTGGATTGTAGCCTGGGTAAGGAGGAAGCGTCTCTCCAATGATTATTGGAAGGAAGTCCACGTATGTCATTTTTTGCCACACAGCGCCAAGGATTTTTCTCGCCTCTTGGTAAAGCTTTTCGTTCTTCCAGCTGGGATTGATTTTGCTTAACTCTCGGGCAATTCTGTTGTGTTCACGAACGAACAAAGTGTGCATGGAGGCCAGGCCGGGCTGTTCATTTGTTCGAACATCACCAGATAGGAAACATTTACCTCCGGATTTCTCATTATTACAAAGGTTAACTGGACCTTCCAGTTCTTCAGTGTTAATTGGTAGAAAACGGCCATTTACTCCATTCGATGTAGCCAACAATCCTTTGCCGCCTGAAGAATAAAAATGTTCATTAAAGTGGTTCCCTATATACGATTATAAAACTATTGAAACTATTATAACCAACTAAGGAAAGCGAAGCAATTTCAAACCGATTTATCAAACTCTGAACACATAAATACAGATGCACTTATATACAGTGGCGTAGCCAGCCCGACAATTTAGTCATGCTATGCTAATATTTTGTTGTTCATTGACTGTGAAAACAATGAATTTCTAAAGAAATGAATAATGATAATAATATAAAATTTGCATAGCATGACTAAATCGTAAGGCTGCTACGCCACTGCTTATATATGCAACTAAAATATCTCAATCACTATAAAATAGTGATATTTATGATTTTGTTAATATGAATGTGAAAAATCTATATTTTTTTGTCCAGTTGAGGCAGTGGCAAGGTTTGGTTTTGACTCCAGTCTTCTACGCTACCACTACCACAAGCATCGCGGGCATATGAACCAGTCTAACAGATTAATCAATCACGAGCTTATTAGATTAGCGAGAGGCCATGGTAGTGGTAGTCTAACCTGTACCTCACTATTGTCACAGTTGGGTGCAGTTAGCAATCAGAAATCAGAATTTTTTTGAATTAGTGATCAATATACAAGTAGCCTCTAAATTTGAGACAGTGAAAATTTTTTGGCTTTACACTTGATAGAAGATCTGAACCGAATCATCACTTTCCTAACGTCCTTTCATGCTTCATAAAAAGTATTAAAAAATACCAACCCTTGCCCTTGTTTTCCCGTAATCGCTCTGCGAGCTCATCTGTAGAACCGTAGACTTGTGAGGCGTCAACAAATGACGTGTCACTATTCAGCTGTTCTCGTCTGGTATAACGACCATTTCGTATCTGACATTCGCTTGCTGATCTTGCAAAAGGAAGGGCTCTGAATTGACGGAATCCTTGAATGGTGTAACATGGCACTTCGAAATTCCGGACCGGTCTTCCATTTCTGCAAAATTATATAGAAATCTTGGGTTAATGTCTTGTGTTATTGTGCAAGTTTTCCCCTACTTCGAAATCTGGACACAGACGGACTGTTGGGTGACGTTCCCAACACAACACAACAAAAACAAGATTCAACTATTGCCAGCTAAAAAAGCAGCGACGACGACAACAACAAGCAACACGACTAATAGTTGAAAAACCACAAAACAATAACGAAAACGCTAACCATTATTATCAACTATTAAATAAAATCGACAATAGTTGCAGAAAACATGAAAAAATTAACAACGGCAACACAGCTGCATCAACGGAAGAAGCTGGAGCAATTGCTGTGACATTAGTTGCAAATGAACAGCAAATAAGATAACAACCAGCAACAATAGTTTAAGAAAAATGAAGTGAAGCTCTCCAGCAGAAAGGTAGGAGTTGGATCGGAACTGTAACTGTAACTGTGACATTTGTTACAAAAGAACAACAACTAAAATAACAACTGCAGCAACGTCAGTTTAACAACAATAAAAAAAATTGATGTTTTCTAATAGAAAGGAAGAAACTGAAAGATTTATCAATCTGTGGCTGTGACATTTGTTACAAAAGAACTGCGACTAAAACTACAGCAATCAACAATAAAAAAAACCCGGAAAAACAGGATCCTCATTTCGAAGTACGTCAAGTAACGCATCACGAGTCTGTTTTTCGAATATTATTTCCCACCAACTTACTTCATTTCCTGGCATTCGTCAGAACTTTCGCTTTCCAGTGAAATGCCAACGTCATGATCCAGGAATTGTCCAAATTGCATAAGTAAGTGAGAATTAGTTAATCTTCTTCTCGAAGGCTTGGGCTGTGGACGGATGAATTTTCCAACTACCTTAAACGTCTCAGGGATACTTGGGACCAAATGTTGACCTGGGAACCCGATGGGTTCGTTGAGTTTTTCAAAGTCAAAATATTTTGCAGGAACCAAACGGTTTAGGATACGGGGGGCGGAACCAAAGAGAGGATTTATAACGTTGTTACAGGTGCCATCAATTGTCCGATATTTCCCCTCGAGTTGACACTTTACCTCCCTACGCGGTGTGCACTTAGATTTTTTTGCCAAGTTTTGTAATGCTTTGCTTGAAAACAAAGTATTGAGTGACCAGTGGAGAGCGACGCCATTTAAACCTGAAAAAAATTATGTTAATTGGTTTATGCGAATTTTGATAGGACCGTCGCTGGAAGCTTAAATGGATGGTGTATATTCATATATTTATGCTTAAATAAGCATGAAAACAAACAATCGATATGGAAAGAAATCAGTCAGGCCAAGAGGGTAGACGTTCCAATATAACCGGAGAGCAGCGTCGCAACGTCTTCAAACAACTAACTCTCCTTACGAAGCGAGAGTCGAAACGAGAGGTATTTTCAATTCAAGGTAGATTAGGAGTTAAATTTAGAAGTAAATTTACGAGAGGCAATGCCGAGCATTTGGCTGCATAAAGAATTTGGATAGTAAAAAGAGGAATTTAGCAAGTGTACTTACTAAAACCATGCGGACGTTCATCTTGATTGAGCTCTTTATGGATGGCGGTTCCTTAATAAGCAAGGAAAAAGTGAATTAACTCACAATTTTCTGGCATGGTATGGTATGGTATGGTATGGTATGGTATGGTATGGTATGGTATGGTATGGTATGGTGTGGTATGGTATGGTATGGTATGGTATGGTATGGCATGGTATGGCATGGTGAGGTGTGGTATGGTGTTATGTGGTATGGTATGGTATGGTATGGTATGGTATGGTATGGTATGGCATGGTATGGTATGGTATGGTATGGTATGGTATGGTATGGTATGGTATGGTATGGTATGGTATGGTATGGTATGGTATGGTATGGTATGGTATGGTATGGTATGGTATGGTATGGTATGGTATGGCATGGCATGGTATGGTATGGTATGGTATGGTGTGGTATAGTATGGCTGCCTCATGTCCGTCATTAATGTTTATCATCACCATATTCTTACATCACGAACACTTCTTTTGAAGCTTTTGTAAAATTGAAAAGAGGACTTTTTACAAGGCAGATTTTCGTAATCAAAGTGTTTATCAAACAGATGGGTTAGTCAGCATTGATAATTGGAGGGGGGGGGTCATATTATATATTCATGTTAACAGACTATAAAGACAATCGATTTGAAAAGAAGTTTATCCTCTGTAACATGAATATGTGAATATGGACCACCTAATTATCGTGCTGGCTACGCCACTGTATCAAACATAGCGTTGAACATTAACTTACTGCGAAGGACCCTCTTCAATACTCTGTTTATTGCAAACTCAATTCCTCTGTCAACCCTTATGGCCGCCATCATTTCATTGAACATCATACGCTCCATTTTTGGGGACTCGTGTCTGAATATTCTGTGCAAAGTTGACGGAGACTTGCGATTTTTGGACAGTTTGCTTGCATGAACGCGTGACGGGTCAAACTTGGACAAGTCCGAATCACCAAAGCCACTTGGAAGAATAATCAGTTTTATAATTCTGGTTCGAAAGCGTGTTCGACGATAGAAGCATTTTTTGTGGATATGGACATTGAGAGTTTTTCTTCTGATGCCATCCCTTTTGTTCTGTGGTAGTTTTCGAAGTGATTTTCTAATCCGCAATACACCACTACTATGACCAATCTTGAAAACGTGACCGCACCTTCGCAAATGGAACGTGGTACGGCATCTCGATCTACGTCGACCGCCACGTTCATGTCCACCTTCACGTTCACCTCCACGCTCACCTTCACCTCCACGCTCACCACCACCTTCAGCTTCACGATCGCGTTCACGTTCACCTCCGCGTCCACGCCAGCGTCTCCGCCTACGTCCGCCCCAACGTCTACGTCTACGTCCGCCCCAGCGTCTACGTCTACGTCCGCCCCAACGTCTGCGCCTACTCCAACGTTTGCGTCGACGTCTGACTCGCACGCGTCCAATAATCCTTCCCCGTCTAACATTTTCCGTTAAAATAATCGTGTGGAGTGGACGGCGGAATCTGCGAATTCGCCTATTCCTCCTTGGTCGATGTCTTAGTCGTCTTAGTCGTAGTATTCTTGGTCGATGTCTTAGTCGTCTTGGTCCTTTCAGGATCAGCCTGTTTTTCAGTGTTTGCTTTAATCCACTGATTTGTGTTCTTCTCTGGGAATTTTCTGTCGTTAGAACGCGTAAGAAAGCAGGAATATAAGTAAGATTGATATACAAATGGGCGAGTAAAAAAATATAATTCTTTTATTCAACGCTTCCAATAGAGCCTGGTTTTTATATAGCGTATCTCATCGGCGAAAGCTATTATCGTTGATCAGTGATGCATAAAATTCTTTGTAAATAAACCAGATTTAAAGGTTGTAATTTGACGAGGTTACATAAACCGTTATGACTAAAGCTGGTTTACACGATACCAGATTCCCTGGTCACGAAATCTTTTGTTAATCTCACATTTCCAACTAAGATATATTTCTAGTTACACAGAGACTTGGACATGAAGGAAGTCTCATGACTTACCAACAGGTTTGTTTTCTTCTGTTTCTAAGTCTTCTTCAGGATCTTCCGATTCCTCGTCAAAATCCCCATCTAGCAGGAAAAAACTTGCGTCAAGGATTCCACACATCATTAATAGCGAGTTTATGATAAACAGGTGAATGTACTTGCAAGTAACTTACCAGAAGGTTCTTCTTCTCCGTCCGAGTCCGAATCATCTTGTTCTAAGATTTAAACAGATACATTGTGCGTTAGGCATGTCGATATACACTTGCAAATCATTGCCAAATATTTGTATAGTTTCGTCTGAATTGAGAACAGTTCAGTTAAGCTAATTTACTTATCCTGTTATAATTCAAAAGAAAACATGCAAACATTTCTCTGCAAGTGGAAATCCAGCGTTAGTGTAAAGGCAAAAAATAGAGCAAAGCTGCCCTTGGTTCCTCCTCCTCTGTTTCTGAGCAACGTGAATATTCGAAATGATTTGGGAAAATTTGAAAATGAAAATTGATATTTTGATATAAATCAGCATGCGATATTCTACATTTCTTGTAACATTTATAGTTACCAGGGGGCATTTATTACGTTTAAGGTTTAGAAGGCAGGTCACTTACCAATAGGTTCGTCTTCTTCTTCTTCATCTGAGCTCGGAAGATCTTCGGATTCCTCTTCAGAATCACCTTCTAAAATTTAAGTAAAATACAACATTTTACAATGTTATTTTCTTCTGTTTCCAAGTCTGAGGAATCATCTACTTCCTTATTTGAATCCGCTTTTAACATTTAAAGTGATATAACTTACGTTAAAAAAATTCTTCGTTATATTTATAATAACATTTGGACTTAAATTTAAGTTCCAGTTAATTCAACCAGGCTGGCGACTTACCAGTAGGTTCCTCTTCTTCTGTTTCCAAGTCTGAGGAATCATCTAATTCCTTATTTGAATCCGCTTTTAACATTTAAAGTGATATAACTTACGTTAAAAAAATTCTTCGTTTATTTATGATAACATTTGGACTTAAATTTAAGTTCCAGTTAATTCAACCAGGCTGCCCACTTACCAGTAGGTTCCTCTTCTTCTGTTTCCAAGTCTGAGGAATCATCTAATTCCTTATTTGAATCCGCTTTTAACATTTAAAGTGATATAACTTACGTTAAAAAAATTCTTCGTTATATTTATGATAACATTTGGACTTAAATTTAAGTTCCAGTTAATTCAACCAGGCTGCCCACTTACCAGTAGGTTCCTCTTCTTCTGTTTCAGAGTCTGATGAATCATCTAATTCCTTATTTGAATCCGCTTTTAACATTTAAAGTGATATAACTTACGTTAAGAAAATTCTTCGTTATATTTATAATAACATTTGGACTTAAATTTAAGTTCCAGTTGAACCCATTCAACCAGGCTGGCCACTCACCAGTAGGTTCCTCCTCATCTATTTCTGAATCACTTGAATCGTCTTGTAAAATTTAAAGAGATGTGAGGCTCACATTCACTAGATATTTTTTAAATTAGGAATACATCTCAATACTTTACGCTGATACCTTTATCTTCGTTTTCCTGTGAATCATAGTGATGATCCATTTCTAAGTCACCTTAGAATAATAAGATAACTTGAACAAGCTGCCAGGCCACTTACAAAACGATTCATATGAGGCGGTAGAGGCGGCAAAGAGATTTAGCGACTTTCCTTGAGAATTTTTCCCCGAGATGAAAAGTCAGTAAAAGTAAGTTATCTACTTACCCGTAGGTTTCTTGTCGTAATTCTTTGGGCTTTCATTCGCTTCCATCCTTGGAAAAGAGAAAAATGCCTAAATCAATAAACGTATTCGTGCAGAAACGAAGAAATTTCATTCTTACCATTGAATTCCTAGAACCAAAACGGCAAAGATGACCACAAGGGCCATCGCTTGCTTCGACATTTTGTGGAAGTGACTTGTTCTCCCAAGGTTACTTGATGAACTGACGATCTGAAAAACGTTTCACTTCACTTCAAATCAACAACCTGTTATTTTACTTGTGACCAAAAAGCAAAACCTGCAATGAGAATGCAATGAAAAATTAACACCATTTAGAAGAAGTGAATTCCACCTCTACTTGGACGAGAAAACGAATTTTTGTCCAGTAACAAGAAAACAAACAGAATCATGTTCTAAACTGTTTAGTCTTAATTAAGGTTCAAGTTCTCTTTAGTTAATAAGGAAAAGTGTCTAGAAACCTTTTGGGATATCATAATGACAATAATATTTTGGTTTGCGATTCACTTGTAGGTACCCGTCAATACAGGTGCCAATGTAATAGAAAAGAAAAGCGTTTATTAGCTACATGGGTTTCATTAATTATTACGTACAATTCAAGGAAAAATACAGCCGTAAAAATATTTTGTCTGCTATAAGTGAAATATTGTAAGGTTCGAATAAGCAAGTAGTTGCAATTATACATACCTAGGTATTGACATATTTAACCGAATATCATGTGTGTTAACATACGAACATAACAGTTCTGTTAAGCGCTCGAAATATCTTGGACCATGAGTAAATCTTAATCTTTATTTAGCTTGATGTTGCTTCACCTCAGTGCGTTGGATACGTCTGATAGAGAGGATCGGTCAATTGTGCGAAAATGGCATTTAAATTTTGAGCAGAATTTATGAAGTGTGAAATTTTGAACAGCAAATTAAAACTTTTAAACTTTCAAAACTCTCTCATTTTTTTTAAAACAAGCGGTTAAATTTCAATTTCGAAAGGAACTCGTGCACAACAGTGCATCCCGTGATTTTTTAGGAATGCGCCATGGAAACATAGCCGGCTACGGTGGTATTATCTTTAGGGTACCCACATAAATTATTATTGCTAGGAAAAACTCATTTCAAAGCTGCGATATTTCATGTAGCAAAAAGTAACATTATGTCCAAAATTACTTGGTGTAGGTGTCTTCCCTCCTTGATCTCTGAACTCGCTTTCTGGTGAACATGAAAACAAGTTTACTTTTGTTTGCTGGCCACAGGGAGTTTTTGACGGGTGCTTTTGATCGCCAGAAATGAAAAGCTGCAGTTTGCTTGAAGAAAAGCTGCAAGTCAATCGTAATCATGAAAAATATTCTTTGACAGAGGAACTTACTATTGTAACTTCTTTCAACAACATGTACAAAAATTAATGTGATTTTCTAAATCTAAATTGGATTACTAAAGTGAACTAAATCACTAGTCCAGATCTTGTAACGCTTTTTGTCGTTTTTTTCTAAGCGAACGAAAAGTCTCATTCTTACTTTCGTTCAAGGTAACTCAAGATGTTGTTGAAAATTTCAAGTCTTGTAGATGGTCCTAAAACAATTGAATTTCGTTCACTCTATAAGTAATTTATAGCAACAATTTCCATGAGACAGATTCTAGTTTTACATGACAAACTATTATTATTGCACCACTTTAAATTGTTCTAGGTTCAGCTCTTAGGTAAAATTTTAGGCAATTCCATCGCTTTACCAATAAAAATTGGTTAGTTATCATGTTTATTAAAGTCGTTTATTAATTTTTCAATCGTTTTTTAACTTAAAACAACTTGTCTAGTTTCAAAGGAAGAATACATTTGGATGACTAAATGAAAAAAAAAAATTTATTAGTGGTCCACTTTAAACAGTTACAAGGACGATGGCCTAAGTTATTATGAATTTCCTTTTTCCTATAATGCAGTTATCACCATTACGCCACTATATAACTATGTCACTAGCACCTATTCTATTCTTTCTAGCATTATGCTTGCAACCTCTCATAAAACAAATTGTTGAATTTTCTAAAAGTCCCTGCCCTTCAGCAGCATATATTCCACAGCTGTATTACATGTGCTAAACGTACCAAATACTTGATAGACGATTATATTATCTTCATATAAACCATTCTCAATTCCAAGAGATAGAAAAGTTTCTTAACTGAAGATATGCCCGAATTATTAATGATTAGTGAATGTGCATTTTCGCCGAAGATAAGAAATCTTTTATTTAAAAAGGTCAAAATTGGTGCATATATAAAGGAGATTATTTTTATAAGTATTTAACAATTACTTAAAATCAAGGGAAATTGTCGACGTTCCTACATACCTAATTTTAGTGTGCAGTGATAACCAATTTGTGCATTGATATTTGATAAAAATGGAATGTGCAGTGATAAAATAAGAAATGTGCAGTGATAAATGGTATTTTCTCAACAGGACTCACTCTGTTGAGCCGGATTCGTCAGTAATTGTCCACCAAAATGCTGGAAATCAAGTCATAGGGACTTCAAAATACAGAAAATTTTCTGTGGTAGGTACTGCAGACCCCCTACATCTCATCCATCTTTAAATTACCAATTTCCAATTAGTACCAATTGTATAATCTACTATACCCGGTACTATACTATTGCAATCATATGTGCAGTCAGTGATAAAAAATTTTAAAATTAGCTATGCGTTCCTAATCCAAAGACCTATTACTTTTGGAGAATCAGCCCAGGTCTGCTTATAGGGGCTCTTACTTACAGTCGGCCAGTAGGTTTCGGTCTATTTTGAGAGATCTAGAGTTATCCTATACCATTTTAGGAAAATTAAGTTATTCGAGGCCATTACGCTTTTTTTTTAGATTTGTGAAATGTGACAAACAGCTAAGCCCATTTGATTCGTTAAAGCACATGAAAGTAATCGTACCCAATCAAGAAACGTTTATGAAACGATCTCGAATCCTCTGTTCATTCATGATTAAGATTTAGACACCTTGAGTTCCATTGCAGCCAATTTAACTTCGCAAATGAATTAACTTGTTGTCATTTTTTTTTATATGATGGCAAATTGAGACAAGAGTTTTGCAAAAGTAAGACACATGAAGCTCACGTAAGTTCAATATAATTTTAATACAACACAACATAAACTTCAGAATGAAATCTGAATCTACTCACTACAATTAAGCATAAATAATTTTGACATCCCAGAATTTCTTCACTTTAATTTCTAAGCATAAAATAGAAGAGAAACGGATGAGAAACTTGACAACGTTGATTTCTCCTGCACGATAGCAGGTGAACCGTCGTAGGGGTTGTTTACATGAGCCAGGTTACCGAGATTAAAAGAAGCGTAAAATGTACCTTAAGGTATTGAAAAAAGTCTTTTTGAAACAAAATAATCACATGCTATTGTTAGGATGATAAAACGACTGCCAGAATCGTGTTGTTTACTAATCTCAATACCTCATACTTCGTTAAATCGTTCGAATGCAATTCGAACAAGAGACAATGAAGCTTAATGAGGTTTATTATTTAATTATCTATTATTTGAATTGCGTTCGCCCCGACGAAAATGCGACGTAGCTATAACCTAGCCAGAACATATTTTATCAATTCTCTAGTTATTTACAAATAAGTGGTTTTGTATATGGTCATTAAAATTAGGTCTGAGGCAAGTAATCTTTGTTGTTGCTTTCTAAGCGATTTCAGTTTAAAGATTTCGGGGCCAATTTACTTACAAACCGAATGTTTAGTGCAATTATGCATATAAATAAATACAAAAGAACAAAACAGCAAAGGAAAACACTCTGTCGTGAACCTCCGTCCCTGAATACTTTTACTCGTTCAAGGGCTTGTGAATATATTTCACATCTCCTAATCATATGCATCAACATATGCTAAACACCGAATCATATAATAACATATTTTCTGATCAAAGATGTTCTTTCATTCGAGAGAAATACTTACAAGTTCTTTCTTGTTTGTTTTCAGAAATTACTCACCTTTTGCAATCAAGCTAGCTGGGTAAAAGGCACAACCTTTGCAATAATACTTGGTCCCTCACCAGCTCGGCGTTGAACCTACACATTCAAAAGAAATAAACCATGTGTTGTTGTTTGAACGGCCTGAAATCAACTTTCAAAGATTATTTTCAGCTAGTATAATCACTAGGGTGATTATTGAAAATTTGGTTCCTGATT